CGCACAGGGATGACTGGGGAGGACAGGAGGCCGCACAGGGATGACTGCTGAGGACAGGAGGCTCTACAGGGAGTGGTTCGTGAGGACAGGGAGGACCAATTGTCTGTAGCTTTGGCTAAATGGTATGGGTAGAAAGGGGATGCAGGGAAGACTGACAGCCCCAGCAGCCTTCCCTAAGTTTGCTGTTTCTGGTGACTGCCTAGCCGTCTCCTTTCAAGATCCCATCTATCTCACCTTCATTGGAGATGGGCTTAATCCCCTAAGCTCCGGTGCTTTGCTTTCCACTCAGTGGCTGACTGCTCGGAGGTGTGTGCTGGAGCATATGTTTTTCTGAGTGCCAGAGTAGAAAAACACTGTCTTCTCCCAGGGATCCTTCTGCTCTCCGACAGCATGCATTCTCTCTGATTCCGGAAGCATGTGGAAATGACAAGGTCTTCTCATTGTCTATTGAATTAAAATGACCTGTCATCATTGTCTGACGTCATCACCACCTCAGAACCTCCTCCCTACAGCCAGACTGGCTATGTTCGGAGTCTGGTAAACACAGGTCTATTTAACTGATACGGTAGGATTGTATTGTTGTGTGGGACCGTGCAGGGGTTCAGACCCAGACCTCGTACACACCAGGCGAGCACTGCCCCGCTGAGCTGCGCAGCCAGCCCTGCAGCTGACTTTGATGGAGACTGCTGGTGCACAGCCACTGCTCCTGAGACTGCCCCTGCTGAGTAAGAACTAGAGTCCAGGCTGGGCAGATGGGCTGCTGCCTGGGGACGGAGGCAGGGGCTTCCCAAGGACTCCTCATCAGCCTTCCTAGCCAACTAACGAATGTGGGTTCAGTGAGTGTCCATCTTCCTTTCAGAGAAAAAGGTGGAACCTGAAGATGAAGACACATGAGTTGGAACTATGCCCCCCCCCAGAAACAGATATATACACATACAGACATACATGCATACACACGTACTCACACAAACACACAGGTATACACATAGGTATGTCTATACACAGACATATACATACATACACACATACTCTCACACACAAACACACAGAGGCACATGCAGACATAGACATACACATATACACAGACACACACAGAGACACACACACATACACATACATACACATATACACAGACCTATATTCACATACATAGACACATCACACATACCCACAGACCTACACACATACACACACATACATGTAACAAGAGGGCCTGCTTGTTGGGGGTTTCTGTCGTCCCACAGGTCCCACAGCTGGCAGGGCCCAAAGAAAATCACACAGAGACTATATTAATGATAAACTGACTGGCCCATTAGCTCAGGTTTAGTATTAGCTCTTATAACTTATATTAACCCATTATTCTTATCTATGTTAGCCACATGGCTCCGTACCTTTTTCAGTGGGGCAGGTCACATCTTGCTTCTTCTGCGATCTGGGCAGGACTAGAAAGGAAGGGGCTTCCTCCTTCCCAGCATTCTCCTGTTCTCATCACCCCCACCTCTACTTCCTGTCTGATTGACCCACCTATACTTCCTGCCTGGCCAATCAGCGTTTATTTAAAACATGATTGACAGAATACAGGCAATTCTCCTGTACCACATACATAGACAGACACACATATACACATACACATGTACACAGACCTATACACATACACACACATACCCACATACACGTACATGCATACATACCATATACGACGGCCTATGCATACATACACAGTTACACACACACACAAACACACACACGTTAGTGTGTGGCCAAATAAACCAGGAGCTCTTTGTTTAGATTATTTACTATAAGCTTCCAGCAAGTACTGGGCTGACTCAATCCTGCCATCCCTGGAATGGGGATAAAGGCTTGTCCTTAGTTCCCAGTAATTTCATATTGCTGAGATACTCTGAATACTTTAGTATGGTTTTAAATATTCAGATTCACATAACATACAATTAGCTGTTCAATCAATTTACTTTTTCCCAAGATTAACCATTTTAAGCTGGATGTAGTGGTACAAGTCCATAATACAAGATAATTGGGAAATTGAGGCAGGTGAATCACAATTTCAAGTCCAGCCTTGGTGATTTAATAAGACCCTGTCTCAAAAAGTAAAAGACAAAAACTCAGGGGTGTAATGGGGTGGAAATGGCAGGGTGCCTGCCTAGTGTGTGTAAGGCTCTGGGTCCAGCCCCCACGACCATAGCACGACAAAGTAAAATAATCCATTTCAAAGTGTTTCAAAGTGAATAAATTCATCGATATATTTAGTACATCCACAGGCCATCAATTTATTACCTCCGACCCATTCCAAAGCATCTTTATTTCCTCAAATGAAACTCTGCACCCATTAAACACTCACCCCATCCCCTGCCTCCTGGCAGCCACGAGTCCACTCTGTATCTCTATGTGCCTATCTACTCTAGGGTTTTCATATCAATGGAACCAGACAGCATGTGACCTGTTGTGGCTTATCAAAAGCTTGTAATTACAAATCATTTTTCAGTAATCTCATCCTTACTCGGGAGTGTTGACATGCCGTCGGAGTACCAGTAGTT